CATTTTAAAACGATGTATAGTATCGATTTTAGTAAATCGACTGATAATAAAATTTAAAATTAGAAGTATAGGATTTTATATTTTTATTTTAAAATAAGTTATAAGTCATTTTAAATTGTAAATTTTAAAATACTCATATTTTGCTTTAAAGATAAAATTTCAAAAGAAACCTAATTAAGCTCTTTATATTATATTTTTAACTTAAAATTTGATGATAAGTTAATTCACTCTAGTATTAAAAATAACACAGTTAAAAGCATTATTCTAAACGTAACAAGAAACTATACCAAGTACCTATTAATGGATAAAGCATTAATATATTATCGACTGCGTACATATTCAATCTAATGGTAATATGGTAATTGAATACAAATATCTTAATTGCATACATATTGTGTACTTTGAAATGTATGTTCAGATAGAATTAGACTATAAACAATTTATACATATTATATAATTAAGATTTATGAATGAAGTAAAATTTAAAAAAATTAAGTAATTTGTATTAATTTTTTTTTACAGTACCTATACTTCAGTTATATACAATGAACGATAAACAAATGCTTTTGCGCAATCGAAAAAATATATTTATTTTGATATACACCAAGAATATATTGTGAAGTGAAAATTAGAAGTCAGGTAAATTAAGTAGGTTAGGGATAGAAAACATTGAGTATAAATGTGTATCATTTCGTAGAAAGCTTTAGACGGGATTAATTTATTCTCTGTCACGCAATATCATCATTTATCGTATAGTCACTACCTACACAATTTTCTTTTGAGATCAATTACAACACTCTCTCTTGCATCACCAATGTATTTTTCATATTTGGCTAAATTATTTGTTATGTAATGTCTTTTTAAATTGTATTCTTCTACAACCGCAATAACACTTAACACTTAACCGCTAAACATTGAGGTTTATTTTTTATTTTTTAAGAATAAATAATCATTCTCCTACGAGGTGATAAAAGTTCTGTTTTCGTCATTAATTTTACGCTTTTTTGCGAAAATTGTAAGCACTATGAAATTAATAAATTCAACGACAATACGACACGAATGAAACGAAGAAACTGATATAATTGGATAGATCAATACAAACAGCTACAGTTAAAAGCTATGGTTAGGTTTATACTATATATTGTGACATTTAGACATTTAATGATGTTCAATACCAGATAATGATTATTATATAGATAAGATAGATTATAAGACTATAAATAATAAATATATATTATAGACAATTGACTTTAAAATAAAATTGTATGATGTAATTTGAAAATGTAATGCGGGCCTCCAGTTGCCCATTTCTGGTATAATGTATACTTTACAACAGAGGTGTCCAACCTTTTGTGAAGTCTGGGCCACGTCATATGGGTAGAAGTTGTTGTGGGCCGCATAGTTTTTAATAATAATAGTTGATACATACAGGGTTTTATTTTTATTTGTTGATAAATGACACGAGATCAATACCGTGGACATATTATCTCCAATAATAAAATATTTTATCAAAATCGGCTCGAGTTGATCTACTAATCACTCGTATAATTAATGTGTGCCCGTGCTATTATGCTAAGATAAAAGTATTAAACACTATTAATGTTTATTTGATGTTTAATATTATGTATATATTCTTATGATAAATTTGTTCTCGTTATATTAATATATTATATACAATTTATACAATTAATTTTAATAGTTTTTAAATTAAAGTGAGTCCGCATCAATATCTATCATGGACCGTGGGTCGGACACCCCGGCTTTACAATATTTAAGAAGGTTATTATATCATCAATGTTACAAAAAATTATTGGAAGTAATAGAAACATCAAATAACTAATTTTTATTTGTGAACAACTGTTTTATTTATTTATAAAAATATATAAATATTAGATACAAATTTACAAGTTATATAATAAAATATTTTATTATTCATAAATTGACATTTAAGAAAAAAAAAAACAAGTATACCTATCTTTAAAACTTTAAGAAAACTTGTAATTTAACTAATATAATGATAAACCTATATTTTGAAATAACGAACGGGTGGAACGTGAAGTGTATAAAATCAGTAATTATTTAAATTCTATAACTAATAAAATAATATTTTGATTATAGTTCAGTATATTTTTTATGTAACTAAAATAATTAAGTATGTTATTTTAATTAATGATTGTACACTATGTAGCTGTTATATCTATATGATTGATTTTTTCTATGTTCAAATGTTGTCGATAGTATACATTGAAAATTGTTTGAAATATATCTAAAACTAAAATTTGTTATAATTAAATATATTAGATTATACGAAATATAAATGAAAGTAAATATAATATTGTAATGCGCACAAATTATGGAAAATATGGCAGAAAGTAGGTGTTTATGTATGTAAAATCTCAGTGCCATTTTGTATGGACACACTAAGTATACACATATTTTAAAGAAACTACGTTATATCGTTAATGATGAAAGATAAAATATAAATTATTTTGGTTGAATTCTAAAATTACTATTTTTAAATGGTTTTTAGGCGGATGAACAAGAGACAAACCTAGCATTTGGAAACTATCGTCGTAAAGCTGTTTGGCATCCTGGCAGGTGTAGATTAAGTAAATGGTAATCACAAGACCGTGCTCTTTTGAACCCTAAGCACGTACGGATTGTATAGTCTCATCATGATTTCCAGAGAGGAAAAAAAATGTAGGGGTATACGAATGTACCTGTACATGAATAAAGAAAAAAATGTAATTCCTTTTGAACATTAGATGTCGTTTGTTTGTGATGACTGTTTACCAATACAATTAAAATATAATATTCGTGTATCTTAAGAGCCAGTATATTTATTAAGAAGTAAAAACGGACTTCAATGATAATTGTGTAGATAAGTTACATAACATACATAAAAGTGTAGTGATCTGCACTAAGATATTCAACAACAAATACGTGTTTAGCTGATGGACGTACCCATCCATTATCATTTATCAGCATTATCTGATTGTCGGTAATGTCTTCAATCGTAATTCGTTAGTGGTGTAACCGAAGTAAACTAGTTGGAGAGGTTTCATCCAGTGTATTCGTTAAGTGAACTTGATTTAATAATGAACGATTCCTATACTTATTGGTTAATTACCTTTATGTAGTAAACCAATAAAATTGATAATGAATCACAATTTCGAAGTTAATTACATTTCTTTCAGAGGTAATTAATAAAAAAAAAATTGGGAGCGATGTGATGCATAGCGAATATGAAAAATGGCGATATTTGGGATTTTATACATTTTTAAAGTAGCGAAATATTTTAGACATTTTTAGATATACGGAGTTGATCTAATTATTTTAAAGAGCATTTTAATGACACAAAATATCTCTTAGTTTAATATTTTTTTACGGTTAAATTACTTTTGCTAAACTGTTTTTGTTTCATCAGCACTCATTGGTATATAAATAAGTGTATCATCTATCAAAGTTATTACGGAAAATAATTTTAAATTATTTTTAAGTTTTAATAATATATTATGGTTTTTAAAAACGAGATAGCCATAATTCATAATTTAACCATTATTTGTATAAACATTAAACAGGTATGCTTTAAGTTAAAATCTTAACTTTTTTTTTAACTTTTATATTGTATTATCTACATAATTCATGAAGTATTTTTTTTTTCAATAAATGTAATAAGTGTTTTACAATGGATAATAGAATGATGTTGAGTTGATTGAGGTTGAGTGAAAAAGCTTCTTCTATTAAATGCACTTCAATGTAATATAATTTTAACTTAACGCCTTAAATATAAAAAAAATAATATCTTTCAAATTAAATAGGTACTAAAAATATTACTTCATACATAAATGACGTAGGTACATAATACATTTTATTCATTTCAAGCATGATATTTTATTTTTAAACTATATGTTAAGTTTTGACTGTAAAGTATGACTTATTAATATATTATAAATTAGTAAGATTACGAAATAAGTAATTTACACATTTTATGAACGCATAATATTTTCCTTTATATACGTCATCGATGAGTTAATTTTGTATATATAATACATCTAATAATAATAATAATCGAAGTATACCTGAATATTTTTTTTCAATATAAAACGAAATTTTATGATTTTTTAACGTAATATGTTATTCACAATAATTGTAATTACTCTATATTACAGTGAATAATAGTATCTATAAATATGTAATACTTTAACTCTTTTTAAACAATGTCTGAGAAAAAATGTGAAAAACCTATTATAATAAATAATTGTTGTATGAATCATTTAAACAATTAAAATTTCATAAGCTTTAAAATTTTTTCTGTTAAATAGTTTAATATGCAGTTTGTTTAAATTTTAATATTAACATTTTTTTTATTATCTAATTTTTTATTTAAATATATATACCTAACCATTTATTTTTGATAATTAAAATCAATACATTGAATAAAATATAAGTGGTTACATTATACGTTGGTAATGGTATATTTTTAATGAATGAATCATTAGTTTAATTCAGATATTGAAAAATAATTCGTATATAATCCTAAGACAAGTTACCTATTTAGAATAAGTTGTAATATCTAATTTTTGTTTCGTTAGCTTATGTTAAATTTTAATAAATGATCATTAAAATTTAATAAAGGGAAAGGTATTTCCAATGTTATCAACTTTTTATTGAAAAACTATTGTAAAATTTTTTATATAAGTAAATTTTTAATTATTTACAAATGTCTTTTGAGTTTTTATGTATTTATTTCATCTTTTGTCAATACAAAAATAATTTCTTTTAAATTAAAACTTCAAAAAAAATAATAATATAATTTTAAAATAAAAATTTGAAATAATATAAAATATTATTTAAGCATAGCTAAATATATCACTAATAACGGCTTAATAGTTGCTGAAAATATTGTATTAATCATTTGATACATTTGGAAATATCAAGTTATATATATTCAAAGGTATAGGTAACTTATATACATTGTGAGTTTCATTAGTACTCACCATGGTAACCGGGCTAATGGATCCAAAACTCCGGATGTATAACTCGCAATGAACAGTTGTAGCATTATCTGTAAAAAAATACATATATGTACATATATTATATAAAAAATAATATAGCAGAAAAATTATTATTTTATTAATTACAAGTATAAATAATATTTATTTTTGCCACAGTAGGAAATGGCTTGAGGTGGATAAACCCAAGGTTAAAATTATTTAATTTTTTGTTTGTTTTTTTTTTTTTTTTAATGGCTGAAGCAAATTATCAAATAAACTGCCACTTTAGGAGTAAGTATAGATTTGGTCCTTTGAAAAATCGTTCCACTTTAAATTAATCAAGACAGAAACCAATCTCATTAATAGCATATAATATAGCGCAACCACGTTCAATTAACCTCATGTCGCATGTAAGTACTATGTACATACCTAATATTCTTGTTTTTTTTTTTTTACGTCAACATTTTTAAATAATTGTAAAAAATAATATTACAAATTATTTAGGCTTAAACATAAACAATGAAACTGTAGTAGTATTAAGTATGTACAGAACGCACGTATGAGAAGAGACACGAAAAACATAAAAAATATTTTTAAATAATTTCATAAAGAGAATTAGAAAACTTTTATTATTTTGTAATAAAACATTTTAAATTGAATAAATCTATTAAAAACTTAAATTTGTATTCTAGACCAAAATATTTTTGTTTAAGGTTGTCGTATAAATTACAGTTAAATTCAAAGATTTAAATACAAAAACATGATTGAATGCGTAGTGCGTTACACGAGTCATTGCTTATACAGTTATACTTATTGATATTTTATAAGAGTTTAAATATGTTCGTTTGTTTTTTATGAAACCTATTTTGTTTTTAGATTGTGTATGACATATGATTATATAAGTACCTAAGTGAAATAAAATAATTTACATGTATTATAGTTGTTTTGAATGTTTATAATCATGGTAAATTAAAAAGTAGATTGTATCTAGGATCATACTATTTATAATCAAAACAATCATTGTCTTGGAAATATTTTTCTAAATATTATTTTACTATCACTACTTATTGTTTTATCAAGTTATTAAAGTTTTAATCATAAATATTAAATGGGTATTTAAATCTTTTATCTTATTTTTGTTTTGGTTTTAACAATACGATAAAAGATACAATAATAAGTTTATTATAAATTATAATTTTACTAAACTTTAGTTAATTAGATAGCAGAAATTAAATATTAATAAAAAAAAAAAACTATAAATTATATGTGTCTATTTAAATTTATAATTTTATTTGTAGTAAAAACTAATAATTAAGTGAATCTGTATAAGTTTAAATGATAATAAAATGCTTAAACGAACCAGCTTTGGATGTCAATTACTGTTTAGTCTTCAAATGTTGTAAATAGTAAATTATTTTTAAATTAACTTATCATTATTAACAAATTATGTTTTACACATTAATATTAGAGTAGTAATCTTTTTATTTTGATAAGTGTAATTAATATTAATTAGCTAATAATTTTAAAACTTTTCAGTTTTTAATAAAATAAGGGAAAATAATAAAAAGACTACAATGAATATTCAAAAACCTGAGTAATTGGAATGGTGAAACTACAGTATAGAAAAATAATGTCTATACTATACCTATCCTATGAATTTTCACTATACATATATTAATAATATTATTGAGATCTATGTTTTTGGTATTTGTATTAATAAATTAAAGATGAGTATATAATATTTATCCACTTTTTCTGCATTAACAGATCTATTGACTATTACATTAAAAACAAAATGATTTTGTTTACAATTTTACGAAGAGATTATAAATGTGAGTAAATTTAATAATGCATATTTACATCTTTAAATTGCTTAAATGCTAATTTATCTACAGTAATTTAGCTTTAGTTTCAATAGCGAATTTCATAATAAAATTATAATCATAAAGAGATTATGTAAAATAAAGATTATATGAACTTTTTTCATTTTTTTATTTTAAACCAAATATATACAATTTGTTCAATTGATGCATAATTAGTATATTTGATAAAGGCTATAATACATGAGCCACCCACTAATGGTACTTGGCTGGGTGTTGTATGAATATCTAACTATATGTTATATTTTTTTTTTCTCTAGTTTAGTTCCCTAACAAGTCAGGGAACCAGTTCCTTTTTAGACGACGTCTGGGGTTGCCAGGTAATATTTGGGTGGATAAGTTCTTAATTAGTGAGTTTTATTGTGTTTGGAGACTGGTATGAAAGTTTTCGTAGAAGCGTGTAGCTTCTTCTGACACAGTTTTAATTAGGAACAAAAGGTGGAGCATTTATTATTTTCCTAAGGGCAATATTTTGAAATTGTTGAATTTTATTGGTATTGGTCACTTTTAATGTACCTCATAATTGGAGAATATTTATCTATAGATGTTTGAGTAATGTTTTATAAATCAAAACTTTAATTTTTAATCTGAAGTGTTTATGATTTATGAGTAGTGTTCATAGGCTGTGAAGACGGGCATTTAAGTCTAGTCTTTTAATACGGATATGGCTATTCAAAGTGAGGCGCTTATCCAAGTTAAGTCCTAGATATCTAACTGTGTCAGATATTATGTAAATAGACATTAGGACAAATGGAGTGGCATAGAGTGAATGTTGTATGTATTGACTTATTTGAATTAAATTTAATGCACTAATCGGTGTACCATTCAGATATTAGGTTGAGATTAGTTTGAAAATTTGTTGAGGCAGTAATAGGGTTTTTGTCAAATTATATGATGGCCTTGTCATCCCCGTAATCGGCTACAATAGTATTTTGGGAGATAGGCTGGTCAGAGGTATAAAGATTGGAAAAAAAAGGGAGAGAAAATTTCAACCTGGGGAACTTCAGCTAAGATTTTCTCAATTTTGGATACTGAGGATCCAAACCGGATTTGGAAATGGTGATCACTTAAGTAAGACTTAAGTAATAAAAATAAACAAGGGGAGAGGAATTTGTTTTAGTTTGAAAAGTAATCCTTTGTACCAAATTCTATCAAAAGCTTAGTTAATTTTAAGAAAGGCACGAATGCAATAATACTTTTTTTCTAAGGAACACGAGATTGTATCAAATAATCTATTTACATGGTGTACCTATTATACTATGCGCACTGAGCGAAAACCAAATTTCGAGTCAAGTAATATCTTGTTCATAGAAATGTTATATAAAAGTCTTCTAAGTATTTGTCTTTCTAGTAGTTTACCTAGAAAAGGTAACAGATATATTAGTCTGTACGAGGAATATAGATCAGGTGGTTTGTCTGGTTTAAGAATCAGGCCTATGTTTAAAAATTTCCACAGAAGCGGGAAGTATGAAAGTTGTAAGGCCTCATTAAATAAATAAGTAAGGAATTTATATATTTTTTGAAAGACATATTTCAACTTCGGCACTAAGTAGATCAAAATCTGGCGATTTTTGATAGAATATTTTTGTAATGCAATTTTTCATTCATTTGGTGTAAAACACTTTTTCAGGGAGATGAAGGGACCTAGGACAATCTAAATAGTGGATTACTTTAGAAGTGAAATTTGGATTATTTATGCCGGGATTTGGCTTAAATATTTCCGATAGGTGTTGACGAAAAGTCTCAGCTTTGCCTTATCAGTTATAGCAATAGAATTATCGATTTTGATTAGTGGTGGTAAACTAGATTTATATTGTAAGAGTTTATTAGTTTCCCTCCAGAGGCTATCAGTTAGATAACTTTTGTTTGAAAATATCTGATTTGTATTTTAGAAAATGTTTATTAAGCAAATTGGACAGTTTATTGTATAGTGCTTTGTGGTGAGGTAAACGAGAAGTTTGATAAAGTGCCCTTGCTTTTCTTTTATCCGTAATTAATGAGCGTATATGCCCAAGCACTTGTTTGAATGATTGAGGTAAATTTATCAACTGCGTTATCGATATCTTCATATGTTTTTAATTTAACGTTCAGGGTGATCTCTTGATTTACTAAGCTATGGAACTTAATACAATCTGTTGAAGAGTAAAATAGTTTTTTAGGTGTCATACGTTATATGGATGCATTGATTGTTAAAAGTACAGATGAATGGACAGAGTTTAGATCAAGGATATTTTTTGGGGTGCAATATTAATTACTTGGTGCTTTAGCAATGAAAATATCAAGGATGTCAGGTTTTTTACGTGGTGAAGTTGGCCAATAAGTTGGATCTGGAGGGGCCAGTATTGAGTATTTTTTGGCATTGGCAAAATTGTGTAGAACATTGCCACATGGGTTGCTAGCACGACAGCTCCAGGCTTGATGCTTTGCATTAATATTGCTACCGATTATGAAATTTGAAGTTGGAAGGAGTAAATTGTAGCAATGGTGATAGGTATATTATTTAAATTAATAGATATTATAGTATTAAATTGCAGATAGTCTTGTGAGAAGTTTGGAAGTGGAGAAAAGGAAAAAGTAGATTTAATTATGATGGTGACACTACTATGAGCTGTGTTGTCTGGATGATTGAATTTGAACAAAGTATAGCCTGGGATAAAAACATTAGAGTATTTGGTTTTTAGGTCATTAACATTGAAAAGGATGACGATGATAGATTTTGAGGTGAGCGAGTTATTTGTCATTTTTATTATTTAAGAGAGATGAGATAACTTGTGTTGGGAGTTTAATTAAGGGGTTAATTATTGATTTAAATTTGTTAAGAAAGCTTGACATTTTTTTTTTTATCAAAATCTAATACGGGGGAGGATGGTTGGTAAATCTTGATTGATTTAAAGTAGCATGGGCATAAGTTCTTTGGGACGAAGATTGAGGGAGGGTGATAGGGTTATTAGTTTCCAGAGTCGGGTGACTTTCTTTTATAATTGAGTTATTATTAATTAACTTAAAATTAATATTATCATATAGAAAGTTACTTTTTTTTAAAATTTAACTTAAGCCCGGCAACTGGGGCCATTAGCTGTTTGTAGGGGTTATGAAATATGGTAAGGGGTAAGGTTGGTACGGTAGGTTGTATTTTACGATTGTTACAGTTGATAGCAAACACGTGTATGTGTGGCAAGGATTTTAATCAC